TCAATTTCACATACTGGGCCATTAAAGCAGAATGCCTGTTACATGGGCAGTTATTTATTGTGCAGTGACTATTGACGTGTCGTTAATAACATTCCTTATTTTAAAAAATACATGGATTTATAGGACATATAATTTACACATCAGAATACAGCTAAACATTTATATGAGCATGTTCATAAATTATAGATGATCTCTATGGAGTCTTTTCTCACTATTTAGTGAGAGGTCAGATAGACTCTTTGAGACTGTGGTAGTCTTTAAAATGAAAAACTGTGATATTGATAAACTTAGCTATGAAATGGATAACTGTATTGGCTTAGTGTAGGGGCTTAAGGAAAGACTTAGGGAAAGACTGTTTCAGAACAAGATAGGGTGCTCACAGGGGCGGACTGACAACTCATGGAGCCCCTGGGAAATAGGGGATCATGGGGCCCCTGTGTCCTAGCCCAAACTCAAAAAAGCCTATGAAAAAGGTACCAGGGGCATCTCATGGGGCCCCCTACTGACCCCGAGCCCTTGGGCAGTGCCAGAGTTTCCATATGTTCAGTCCGCCCCTGGGTACACACACACCTGTAACATGGAGAAATTCCTCCATCTTTGGTCACTCACATTCTCCAGGCCTGAGGCCCATTTCCAGAAATAAAGAATGTCCACACACCCAGCTTTTCAATGAATTTACTGTAGGAGAAGCATATAAATAGTTATTTAACATCCAGGGGCGGACTGACAACTCATGGGGCCCCCGGGCAATAGGGGATCATGGGGCCCCTGTGTCCTTTCCCAAACTCAAAAAAGCCTATGAAAAAGGTACCGGGGGCATCTCATGAGGCCCCCTACTGACCCCGGGCCCTCAAGCAGTGCCTGAGTTTCCAAATGGTCAGTCCGCCCCTGTTAACATCACCACCTTCGCCTCTTCACTCTCTCAGTCCCGACATCTGTAATTCTGCACAGGACAAGTCCAACATTAGTATCTGATACCCGCTCATATCTTATGTTGTCCTCTCTGCAAGTTCCACCATGGGTTTTCCAAACAACCTTTAACATGCCTACCTAAAAGGCTTCTCTTCCTAAGGCTGTGGATGGGGCTTACTGCACCCATGTGGGGACCTATGGACATCAGTTCCTCATTACACTCAGTACACTGTGGATACAAGTTCATAAATACACTTTGTAACTCTTCTCTCTGTATTGAGCAGAATTTATAAACCAGTACTGCTGAGTTTGTACTGGACTCCACCAGCTCAATAACCTCTCACCTCACTCCCAGTGACATTAATTCATATGTTTCACTTGAATACTAGGCACCTTGACTCTTGTATAGCTGCTTATTACTATATTTCCTGAGGTCTTGCTCCATCTTCAGTGACTTCTAGGCTGGGTCCCTAGAACGCCCGTGACGTGATGTTGAACCGGGTATTGGGGTTCTGATCACTGAGAAAGGAGCCTAGGCATACAAGTTCTTTCACTGGAGGGCCTCTGTCACCCTTGCCAAATCATCACTGCCTGATCATCTGGCTGCTTATGCACTCAACACTAGTACTGTAGTCGTTAGTAATTGCAATATAACTTTCTCCAAATAGGTTATCTGCATATTAGATTATTTGCACTGCATCTTCTTTAACTTGTCTCATCCCCTTATTAAGCCCTGTTCTTGTGATACACCATACATGCATGCACCCCTTTAAGACTGTCCTCAAGTACCTTCAGACCAGGCCAAGTTGGAACACGAGAAAAGTTCTTTACTGAAGTAATCTAAATGTAACAAATGAACAGTTAAACAAGTTTTCTTCACTACAAATTCCTGTACATAATCTTCCAAGCGCCCCTTAGTTAGTATTCTGGTGCCCCTGATTTCTCCATGAGGTAGTCATACCTTATAAAGGTGAGAAAGTTCTTGAGAGTCCATTAGTCCAAAGCATGGATCTGTACGCCTGAAACCCTGACTGGGCTCCCTCAAGTGGTGGTTAAGTGCAAGTATTAGTTCACATCCTTGGCGTCATTCTGATCCCTTGAATGGAAAGACTTGGCACCAAACTTCTGGTCGTCTTGTTAACTAAAGCCCCCCTGAGAGGTGGTTCCTTCCCTTTCTTTTATGTTTACCCCAGCAGAGGGCAGTACATCCCCAAAAAGCCCAGGAACATTTGACCAGTAGAGTTAATTTTTACCTTACCAGCAAGGCAAGCACAACTAAACAATACAATAATGCAGAAATTTAACCATAGACACCAAGTGCAAAACAATAGAACATTTTAATAAATCATAAACATTTGACATTCACTTGCTTACAAGGCTACAAGCTAACATGTCAATGTACTAGATGTAGCTTTCTCCCATCACCCTCATTTCCAAGGCTCTTCCAGCTCTAGATTATATAAAACAGACTGGTTCCACCCCCTATGTGTACCCACAGGGAGGGGATCATTTAAAAGGGGTACTAACAACTATTTACACACAGACTGCAGAGGTCTCTTGTGCTTTTCACCACACTTGAATGCACGTAAACGCATGCCCTCTGCCACAGTATAAGTCAAAGTCTGCAGTAGGAGTTTACAGCATGTTTTGTAAATTAGCTTCTCTTTTTCTATCACATGCAGTATCCCATAATTCACTACACTTTTTGTTTGGACATAGCACTATAGCCCAGCTTGAGTGTACTTTGTTTTATCTTCTTTTGTTTTTATTCTGTCTCCTTTTGGACAGAGATGGGTAAATCTATCAGCACAATGGAAAAGAATATTTAATTTAGGCACAGGGACTCTTAAGACAAAATGGAAGTTTCTCTTTCTAACCTTTTAGCACTGAAGGATTTTACATATAAAACTAAGAGGCTTTCAGTTCCAATGCCCAAATTAGGAAAGTGGCAGAGCAGGTGAGATCCTACCTGAAAACCTGACCCTAACAGTCTGAACGACCTTTGGGTATTTTACTGTCTGCCATTATGCTCAGAACACATTGTCAACTATTGATGGAAAAATATTTTACAAAATTGGTGCTAAAGCATTCATAGTTGAGGATCAAAAGAGTCCACCAAGCATGCAGCCTCTGATGCGGAGTCCACTCAAATTCCAACATCACTGACCCTGGACTGTAAACAGCTAGCCAATGAGGTGTCTTAACTGTTGAAACCAGGACCTACTGACTCCATACAAGAAAGGATCACCCCTTGCCTGTAAGAACTCTGCTTGTTTTCTTGGACTACTGAGGTGAAGTTACCAAATGATGTAAAGGTTTTACCATGGCCTACCCAGCCACTATCTGTCTCACTACACTAGCAGGTGTGCAACAAGCCTTTACTGATTCAAGGAGGCTGAACAATTTGTTACCTCACTGGCCTTCGTTGCAGCATCACTAAAGCCCAAGTCTGTCTCCCCTACAGTGTGAAGCCTATCCATCCGTGTGGCTCCACCACTTGTCGATCCAAATGAACCAGGAAAGTAGTAAGATCCTTTGGGGACTCTATGTTTCAGTATATGTGCATTTCAATTGACTGAGACAGCAGCGTATTAGAGATGGCTTCAAAGGATGGCCTATAATTCACTATGACAAAGCTGCTACATTGGCTATTGCAGATAAGTCCAGCTTCTGCAATGTTCTTTCCTCACTTTGCAAGGGTCCAGGAATAGTCCGGGTAAAAGATCATTATACACCTCTTCTCCTTACATTATATATGTATCTCACCTTATATATCCTGAACTTATAATACTTGTCCCAAAAACCTTGTTTGCCACCTCTTATCATTATGCCAAGACCCAATAACAGGATGATGGCCTTGGTCATACTTAATTTTACTATGATGACTGTACAATATTTATACAGTACATTGCTGATTGCTCATTGTTCAAATATATAACCAAGAGGATTACTCAGTGCTGCCATACTACTTACCTGATTGTTAAGGAAGACTGCAATACAGTTCAGCATCCTCTAAAAGACAGACAAACCTTGCAAATGACTGGAGATATCAAACATAACCTATCTGTGGTTGATCACACCTTCCCTATATTGTAAAGCAATGTGACAGCAAGAAGACGTTTTACGTGTGCAAGTGCATTTGCATGTAAAAATGCACACTATATGGACCATTCTCACATTTTTTGGTAGGAACTTTCTGCCAGAAATATCCAGCGTTCATATATCATTATCAAGTGCAAGGACCCTAAACAGCTTGTCTCTGTTCTAAAAAACATTGTATGGTGTAACACAAAAAAACTTGCAGAGATCATTTAGATCTAGAAAATGACTTGGGTCACCACTAACCATGGAGAGATACATTTTCTGAAAAGAAAAGTATATGGAGAAAAAAACAGTTTTAGGTAGCACCACGGCAAGAGGACCTACAATATACTGTATGTGCATCCAAAGAGGATGTGATTATTTCTTAGCACATGGGCCCTCTACAGTCTATATTACAAAAATGTAAATCCAAAATTAACCTATAAAAGTGGAAACTATAATGAAAATACACCATGTTGCCAAAAGTATTGGGATGCCTGTCTTTACACGCACATGAACTTTAATGGCATCCCAGTCTTAGTCCATAGGGTTCAATATTGAGTTGGCCCACCCTTTGCAGGGAACTCTTCTGGGAAGGCTGTCCATAAGGTTTAGGAATGTGTATATGGGAATGTTTGACCATTGTTCAAGAAGCGCATTTGTGAGGTCAGGCACTGATGTCGGACGAGAAGGCCTGGCTCAAAGTCTTCACTCTAATTCATCCCAAAGGTATTCTATTGGGTTGAGGTCAGGACTTTGTGCAGGCCAATCAAGTTCCTCCACCCTAAACTCACTCATACATGTCTTTATGGACCTTGCTTTGTGCACTGGTCCATAGTCATGTTGGAATAGGAAGGGTCATCCCAAAACTGTTCCCACAAAGTTGGGAGCATGAAATTGTCCAAAATGTCTTGGTATGCTGAAGCCTTAAGAGTTCCCTTCACTGGAACCAAGGGGTGAAGCCCAACCCCTGAAAAACAACCCCATACCATAATCTCCCCTCCACCAAACTTTACACTTGGCACAATGCAGTCAGGCAAGTACCATTCTCCTGACAACCACCAAAACCAGACATGTCCATCAAATGGTGGCACGCTTTACACCACTGCACCTGATGATTTGCATTGCACTTGGTGATGTAAGGCTTGGATGCAGCTGCTTGGCCATGGAAACCAGTTCCATGAAGCTCTTTATGCACTGTTGTGCTAATCTGAAGGCCTCACAAAGTTTGGAGGTCTTTAGCTATTGACTCTGTAGTCTCTTGAAGATTTCTGTGCACTGTGTGCTTCAGCATGGGCTGACCCTGCTCTGTCATTTTACGTGGCCTACCACTTGGTGGATGAGTTGCTGTTGTTCCCAGTTGCTTCCACTTTGTTATAATACCACTGACAGTTGACTGTGGAATGTTTAATAGCAAGGAAATTTCATGGATGGAATTATTGCACAGGCGGTAACCTATCACAGTACCACGCTTGAATGTAATGAGTTCCTGAGAGCGACCCATTCTTTCACAAATATTTGTAGAAGCAGCCTTCATGCCTAGGTGCATACCTACTGCTCCCACATGTACAGCCTAAAAACTGTCTTTCAGTAGTGAAACTGAGGAATTTCTACTGCTACATTTGACCATCTTGAGGATTTTATGATAGTGGACCAGTTTTTATAAGTCTTTTCTAGTAGTTTATCCTGGATCAAGAGCTGAAATCATCTGATCAGATCTTCAACCAGAGTCCCAACAACCACAAGATTTCTTCCTACAGCTGGAAAGAGGGATACGCTGCTGCTAACCCTTCACCACCTGCCAGCAGGAGGTCACAGTGACCTGCATTGGTAATGTCAGGGACCAGAAAGACAATTATGAATACCCAGACGTGTTTAGCTTGCAACTAAATTGGGCATGTCACAAACCACTGTCCAGTGAGTAGAGGGCCCATTCTACCAGCTAATGTGACAACTGCATCCCCTGCAGTGCTGCTTGCTGGGAAAAAAGGTAGGAGGCCATGTAGATAACCTACAGTCAGTTACCATAGGTAACAAAGTTAAAGTTGGGCTCCAAGACATGTGATAAGAGGTTACTCTAGTTTGTCAGGTCTGGTGAACTGTGAAGATTCGATAACAGAAAAAAACAGTGGTCCTAGGGATTGGAAAGTCTGCCTTATAGTGCCCATAATTTGTGTCTATCTGGCCTGGGGAGCCAGGAGAGAATTGAAAGAAATTAGGATATCTGATTTTCTTTCCACTCATGTATTGCTGGGCAATGACCTGAACAGGCAAGTCTCCAAGCATTTGCCAAGTACCCAAGGTCCAAAATGGAAAGTCCTTGATGCTTCTGAAATGCCTGAGTATGTTAGGGGTGGGCAGGGGAAAAGCAAGTTTTTTACTGCATCAGAGCCTGGTTGAGCATTGGGTGAGCAGAGAACTAGGGACTATTTTCCAAATTTGTTGGAGATTCCAAGGTCCTGTGCTCAGATGTTTCTGCAATTTCTAAGATGTTTTGGGGTGGGCAGTGGCACAATAAGTGTTTCCCTGTGTCGGATCCTGGTGGTATTCTAAATAAAACAGAAGACACAGGTCTGTTTGCCTTTACTAAACCCAAATATTTTTCTTGATCTACAGCTTGAGGCTCTGTTCACACAGGGTGATTAGCTGCTTGCCCCTGTGTGCAATTGGGGACCCGCATCCACATGTCATATTGGAACACAGCGGCTGTGTCCTTGCAGCCACATATCCCAATAGACAATGATGGGACATCGACACAGAGATGTAGTCAACAACTGTGCATCATCATGCCAATAAAAGGTGGCCCTGCACAGGGCACACAGCTAGTCTCCCTGTGTTAACGGGCCTTAGAATGTATCCAATTTTATGCATCAGGTTGTAGATGAATTGCATAGTAAATGTATCTTATGGGGAAAAAGGTTGTGGTTTTGTAACAATATGTTGAGAAAAGAATTATGTAGTATTTTCCATAAACATTTGTGCTTCGATAGAACAATCTTGTCATTACAGGAAAAGGGTTGTTTGTCTGTAACCTGTTGCAGGATAAAGTCCTATGCCGCCATCACAGTTACAAGTGTTTCCATTGTTAATTTGCTATTGTGTACTACAGTGGAAAGACTACTAGGTGATGACAAAATCTGACCTAGTCTGAGCCTACTTCCTTGCCAACTGTAGCTGATAATACTAAGCTCTTACAGACTGACAGATTCAGTGCCAGCCTAGGTAGACCCAGGTGTTGTATTGAGAATCCTTCAGCTGAGGAGGACAGAGTAGAACTGTGTCACATTTCTCAGATGCTGGAGGTCCTGGTGCAAGAGCGGTATTACCAAATAGGCAGAGAAGCCACTGGCCTATGGACCCATGCTGGTTAAGTGATCCATGACAATGGATCAAAATATTAATGATTTGTTCTTGAAAGAAAGAAAATGAAACTGAAGTTTTGTTATATTATTATATATTATTATATATATTATAAAATATGTTAAAAAAAGAATCAACCCAAAGAAACAACAACTTTAGATTAAAGACTGTATTAATGTAATGTACCCAATAACAACTTAAAATATATAAACGATGGACATCAGGTTCACATTACAGTTTGTCTCTTAAAAGCTCATCTTTCAGCTGCCAATTTGTAAAAACAATTGGTGCAACCTATATACATGTAATGTACAGTAGTGATGGTCATCTCCATCTAGCAAACAACATTTACACTACTTAATTCAATGTTATCCCATTAGAGCATGCACACAAGAAACCTTCAGAAACCTGTGAGGGGGGGGAAGGGGGGGCAATAAGGTTTCAACTGCCTAGGGGCCTCTAATGGATTTATATACATTAACAAACTGAAGCCAAACTCCAGCTCACACTTTATAATCTGTTACAGTAGTTTGTTTTCCTTTTTGGGTAAAGGTTTTACATAAATAAATGCTGATAATTGTAAACACCCAGTATTGAATGGTTTGTCTAATCCCTGTAAACTGATACTGCTGAAGAAAGCCTGTTCTTTTGAAAAACAACAGACTTACTTGCTGGATCACCAGATGAAAATAGAAGAAAGAAAGCCTAAAAAAAAGAATGCAGCCATCACAGGAAATGGTAAGCTGCAATACAATAACATTTTGCATTTTGGTTTAATACTGCTTCACAGCGAATTATTATAGTGATACTAAAAATCTATACAATCTATATTTCATTAAATAATTTCTTACTGTGTTTTTCTGCCTTCTGGAATCCTTCATGTGCTCCCGAACCTCAAACCCCCACCCCTTTACTGTCTTTTGTTTGGAACAAGCAGTGCACGTTAGTTGTGGCCATGTGTACTGCTATATATACACTACAGATCCATAGTCCATAGTCCATCTTGGGAAGTGCAAGAGAAGGTGGCTATGTTCCTACACACAGTAGGACCATGGAGAACATAGCCCCCCTCTAACAGAAAGTTGGATCAGGGCAGCAGCAAAAAAAAGGATAAATTAGATTTGGAGGAGGCTGAGAGCAATAGAATATACTTTTTTGAGTTAAGTATACATACTTTGATAGATTATTTTTTTAAAAAGCATCACTTGAATCATTTTTGTCCTTTGACCTTGGCACTGGCTCTACTAGGTGTAAAGCACCCATTTTTGGTATTCAAACATAGCAAAGCAACAGCCAAGACCACTATTCTAAGTTTTAAATTTGTTATTCATAACTCAGCATGGTTATGGGTGTTTGAAGATTTTGATTAACAAAATGTGTTGCCATCCATCACTCATCTCTATACTGTATACTGAGAACCTAAACTTTTCTGATCTGAACACTCTAAATAACCCTGAAAGCACACATTGATATGCAAGCTGTCACCCCCCACAGATTACAAGTTTGTGATAAACCTTGCTCAGTGAGCTTTTAACCCATAAAGTGCATGCAAGCCCACTTCCTCTTAAGGGCTCAGGGAAGCAGCACACACTAAGCCTCTTCTCTGATGTAGCCAGCAGAGACCTGCAAAACTGGTCAGGCTTGGACTCCTTCCTACCCTGGAAGCCTGCTCTTAATTGGGAACTGACTTGTACAGGATCTCCCCACCACTTGACATTTATACTTGGACTCTTGATTTAATCTTGATATCTTTGCTTTTTGACAATGGCTGTGATGCTTGCGGTAGCAGCCATCTTTCACACATATCAACTGATTTCCACTGTGCTGAGTTAAGTGTGTGCTCAGACTGATTTGACTGACTTTAAATGAATATAAAAAATATACTATATGGGCCACAGTGGTTAAAATGATTGAATCCTATTGTCCAGCAATGCAGATCCTCATCAATCAGGATAAACAGCACCCACGACTACAGAAAAAAAAAACACACATCTAATCTTCTCCCTACAATCGATGTGAATAATATCCCCTTGTGCCCACTGCTTAAGGTAATTCAAGGTGTTGTAATTGACCAGATATAGCCATGGCCATATTTGGGCAATGTCATTAGCCAGATGACCATGTAGTCATATTTGCTCAGTGATGTCAGTGCTATGCTTGCCTCTCTGTTTACATGGTCGGGGATTCCAGGCCTGTAAATGATAGGCACTGGGTGACTTCATTGGTTGCTAATGAAGTGGCAGGTATTGCCACCCACTGCTTCCTTAACAACCATTTACAGCTGGCATATGTAGCAGCAGTAGAAAAAACACTATACATAACGTTCAACTCTGCACTCACTGACCAAAAAAGTCTGGCATTTGGACCAACAACCCATGCAGGCAAAGTGGAACTCATCCCTAGTACCCTATGTAATTATGATGCCTTTGGCAACAAGTCCCCTCTGACTCTGTTGCACATCTGATAACATGGTACAACTAAAATATCATCTGATAGAATGGAGTTGTGGTAGCTAGAGGGAGCTCTAGTTCTAATTGTTAGAGGCGGAGTAGAAGCCTAGGTGTGATTGCCAGATGCGTCAAATTTAGGTCAGGAGCTGAAAAGCTCTGCAGCCTGGCTCTCTGAGACTTCCCCCTGCTCTGGAACTTTGGAGAAAAATCTAGAAGCAGTGGGCGGAGGTAAGGAGGGGCCAATCTGTACTTTTGGGAGGATTCTGGCCAATCCCCAATGAGGGGCTTGGCAAGGGGTCAGGACATCCTTTAAGAGTAACTGAGTGCAAAGAAACAAGCAGCAGGTCGTGGGCCTAGTGCATTACCTTCTAAAAATTAGATTTATTGATTAAAAAGTAGTATACTCACAAAAGAATAAAATCAAAGGCACATCAGGCTGGTTCCAGCATCATCCAAACACCCCTCCCACATTAACAGCTCATTTAAGAGAGGACACAGGCTGTGTAGACTTGGCACTGAGGAAGAGGTTCTTCCTGAAAGGTGTCAGCCATTTGGAGGCCTACAATCCCAACACAGCCACCATCTAGGGAGATTGGACCATGCTGTCTTTTTTGTGATGTGCCTTTGATTTTATTATTTTGTGAGTATGCTACTTTTTATTCAATAAATCTCAGTTTTAGAAGGTATTGAACTAGGCCATTGCACCCTCTGTTTGTTTCTTTGCACACAGCTTCTTTGG